GCCATACTCCTTTCTGTGCACGTCGTGTACCGCTCTTGCTGTCCCGCGCCGCAGGCCAGACGCTGGTGGGCTCCGCCGGCCCCGTGCTGCCCGACCTGCTGGCATCCACCGGAGTCATCCACATCGCCGCCGGCTTCGTGGCGCTCCCGGCGGGTGGGGCGGGGCTGTCGTGGGGGCGGGATTTAGTTTCGAGTAATTTATTTTAGTTAATGATGATGATTAAACAAGGGAGTGTGGCTGGTGTGCTCCTCTGGGCGAGGATGGGCAGCGGCCACAGGCCGCCTGGCTCAGGCAGGGGCTGGGGCAAGTGCGGGCAGGCAGCTGCGGGACCAGGAGCATCGATTGGCAGTGAAGTCCTCTAATGGTGCCCGCCTGCCCCTGCTTTGTGCTGCAGAGGCGGCAGTCGCCACCGCGCCAGCCGCAGAGGCGGCCATAGCTCCCGTGGATGCGCCTCTGCCCGCTGCGCCGCCGCGGGCCGAGGTGCCATCTCCAGCCTCTAGCCCTGAAGCAGTGACGACCGCGCTTCCCCCCTGGCCTGAAGCTGCGAGGACCGCTCTGCCTCCCAGGCCTGAAGCCGTGACGACCGCTCTGCCCCCCAGGCCTGAAGCTGTGAGGACTGCTCTGCCGCCCAGGCCAGAGGCGGTGCCTGCCCTGGCGCCTGCAGCTCTCCCTGTGCGCCTGCCGCCTGCGCCTGCCCCCTCGCCTCCCCCTCCAAGGTGAGGTTGTTGCATTGGCAGCTGGCTCCGAAGGCAAATCCCGCTGCCTGCTGCTGAGCTGAGAGCACGGCACGCACGTGGAGGAAGCAAGGCTGGAGTCTGCCCACATTCCACCGCTCGTACTGCTGTCTGCCCACATTCCACCGCTCGTACTGCTGTCTCCTCCCACTGCCCACTGCAGTCCCACCCCTCTACCTCCCTCACCTCCTCCGCGCCCCGCACCGCCGCCTTCCCCCTCCCCACCGCCTCCGACTCCCTCGCCCACCCCTCCCCCACCGCCGGCGCCCTCCCCACCGCCCGCCCCGGTGCCCCAGCTGCCAGCCGTGCAGCCGTCGGCGCCGCCGCCATCGCCGGCTGCGCGTGCCCCTTCACCTCCGCCGCCGCCCTCCCCGACGCCGCCGCTCCCCACTTTCACCCCGCAGCCCGCCGTCGGTAAGCTGCTTGCCCATGCGAGCGCCATGCGCCTGTGCCCCCTCAGCTCCCGTCCTCAACTGCTCGGCTCTCCCTTGCCTTCCAGATTGCTCGACTCCTTTGGCCTTGAACGTCGTGCTTCACCGATACATTTTACCGCTTTTTGTACCGCCCACCTGCACCGCAGGCACCACCGGCCTCCTGTCCGGCTCCGACCTGGCCTCCCAGCTGACCGGCGGCTGCGCCTGCACCACCACCGGCCGCAGCGGCGGGGTGCAGACGGGGCAGGCCGGGTGCGCGCGGCGCATCGATTCCAACTTCCTGCTGCCCGTCAGGTGAGCAGAGCAGAGCCTGGTGCTGCCCTGATGCCCAGCTGGCGCTGCCTGCTGGGCAACACGCGATCTGCCTGCCTATGGACGGGCAGCCCACCCATTGTGTTGAGCATTCGAGAGGCGCTGGCCTGCCAGCCCTCCGCCCAGCCGTCGTGTGGCCTGCCCCACCACCACCATCACCCCCACCTCCACACCCCTCGCATTACACCAACCATGCCCACACCCATGCCTCCCCTCCTGCAGCCTCTGCTATGTTCAGAGCCCCGCCACCTGCCTGGCTTCCCTCCAGGTCAGCACGCCCTCCCCTGCACAGCTGGCCCGCACCCCCAGCTGGCGACCGACGTGGCAACATGCGAGCTGCCATGGCGCCTTCTGTGTTAGCGCAGCTGCCCCTGCTGAGCCTGCTGCGCCCGCTGCGTGCAGTCCACGGCCTACCCCGGAGCCGCGTGGAAGCTGTGCTGAGGCGGCGGCACGCAGCCAGGCAGGGCCACCAACTGATTCTGCGGCATACCCCTGCACCTCCATCCTAAAGCTGCAAGTTCAAGATCGAAGAACCCACATGTGCCGAGATGGGCAGCTGGCTCCCTGCCTTCTCGGTCCCCATTCGACTCATCAGTCACTCCCAGCTATGTGGGGTGTGCAATTCTTGGTGCAAACACAAATACAAGAACAGGCGAATTACTCAATTGCAATGCTCGGTGTTGAGTATCGTTCGGCGGGGAACGGCGGCAGGCCCCATGCCTGTGGCTGAAACTGCTCCAGGCTATCCAGAACAAGGTCCGCGCCGCCGCACAGCGCGCGGTCCAGGTTTGGATCCGGCACCATCACGCACCGCCTGCACCACACCCACGGCAGCAAGGCAAGTGAGGTGGGGAGCCCCCCCCCGGCACGGTTGGCCACGTTGCTTTGCCAGGTGCTTCAGCAGCCGACCGCTGGCCACACGACGGGCTGCAAGCAACCAGCTGCGCAGCAGCAGCAGCGGCGGCAGCAGCGGCAGGGTTGGCGGTTGTGCTCACATGCCGGCTGCCTTGGCCGCCGCCACCCCGCTGGGAGCGTCCTCCAGCACCAGGCAGCAGCTGGGGTCGGGCGCCGGCTGCCACAGGCCGGCGGCGTGCAGGAAGATGTCTGGCGCGGGCTTCCCGCTGCTGATCTGGTCGCCTGCAGCGGCGGCAGCAGGGGGGTGGCAGGCAAGGAACAGAGTGCTAGGGTGCTCGTGCGCAGCGTGCTCTGCAGCCAAAGCAGCCATCCCAGGGAACCGCTGCCAACTCTTTCCCTTCCTGGCTTGGGATAGGGAACAGGCCCAAGCCTTCCCTTCTTCCTTCCCCACGCCCACCTGTCACTCTGTGATTGAACAGCTCAAACAGCTCCCCATGCAGCGTGGTCTTCAGGGTGAAGTGGCGAAGGTGGGAGGAGGTGGCCAGGCACATGGGCACCCCGCAGGCCGCCAGGTGGCGCAGCAGGCGCTCTGCGGCAGGGCAAGCAGCCCGGAAGGCAGCGGCCAGGGCTTGCAATGCGGCGTCAGCGGCCAGCGGGCAGCCACACCGCTACTCCTCCTGCTGCTGCTGCTCGAGTGCTTGCCGCCGCATGTGCGTGTCGAGGCGAGGTGGCAACAGCACACCAGCCGAGCGTGAGGCAGCGGCGGCGCTCACCCGCGCCTGGCAGCAGCTGCGCGGTGGGGAACATCTCATCCAGCGCCTCCTCCCTGTCTGCCAGGAACTGCTCGGGAGTCAGCTGGCCCTGCAGCTCGAGCTCATCCACCAGCACCCGAGCCGCCTCTATGGCCTGCGCGGGAAGCAGCATGCAGGCAGGCAGGCAGGCGGGCAGGTGGGCAGGCAGGCTGGGGTGTTGGGGCGGGGGGTTTCCCGGGCTGCTGCGGCTAACGGAGGCGCCGCGGTGCGCCTGCCACCGTACGGATGCCATCGCCAGGGCAGGCTGCGGCGCCGCCGTCCCGCAGGCATCTGCAGGCCCCGGCCGTGCCGGCAGCGATGCTACATGGTGCATGCGATGCTGCATGGCCATGCTGGGGCAGAGCGGCGCACCTTGAGGCCCATCATGCGTGCCTTTAGGGCCCAGGTGAACTCCTTTCCAAACTTCTGCGCCAGCCGCTGCTGCACCACCGTGTACATGCCCTCTGTGTCTAAAAGCAGCCCATCCATGTCGAAGATGACGTGGGTCACCTGCACAGGCGGCAACAACGAAGTTTGGCAGACGGTGGCGGCGGCGTGGGGCGGCGGTGGCGTCAAGCGGGCGGGAGGCTGCTGAGGACCCAAGGGGGCGACCTCCCAATCCCACAGCGGCCTTAACCACGTGGGCACCTTGCCCAGCTGTTGGGAGGGCGTCATCAGGACGAGGGCGGGCGGTGCAGGGAGCCCTGCCCAGTGAGGTGTGCAGCGGGGAGGGCCCGGAGGGGGTTTGTAAAGGCTAAGGTTGATCAATGAAAGCCCGCTGGCTGATATATCGGTTGAATGGGTTCTTCAAGGCGCAGCAGGCAACGCAGGCCAGCATTCGTGCTCCCTCCTTCGGCCCGCTTTCAATCCCCTGAGCGACCCAACGTTCGCCTGTAACCTCTCTTACGCGCATGGGATGGAGGGAGAGGCGATGCTGAGGCTGTGGCTCACCTCCGCCCGGCCCCCAGCCCCCGTGAGTGCCTGCGGATGCCGGCGGGGCGTGTGCAGCCTCGTAAGAGCAAGCGCAGCCGCTCAATGCCCAGGGGAAACCGTTCAACCCGCTGCCGCCGCCGCCGATGCTCCCACCCGCTCTGCCGCAGGACGCCGCAGCGCGCTGGCTGCGCCAGGCCCCAGCAGGCAGCGTCGCTCCGGCTGCAGCAGCACCAATCCTGTCGGCCAGCCAGATGGCGACGGCAGCGGCCGCAGGGGTCGCCCGCCTGATTGCCGCGCCACACCAGCCCAGGTGTGTGAGCGGGCGCTCAACCGCCGAGGGCACATCTGGCCGATGCAGCTGCCTTGGCCATGCAACCGCTATTGCGCGCTGAGGCGGCTGGTATGTGTTACGCTGCAGGGCCTCCAAGTGGGGCGCCTTTCCATCCAGCAGCACCCACCAGGGTGCCGCCCAGCACTCGTCAGGCGGCTCTGCGCCTCACCAGCACCCACCTGGCTGGGCGGCCGCTCCAGCCGATGTGCCTGTGTGCCAACCCCGGGGCAACGGCGGCGGTGGCCCCGCTGGCAGCTGGGGCAGCCGGCCGGGCGACCGGCCGGGCGGTGGTAGCAGCTGGGGCAGCAGGCCGCCTGGCCTGAGTGCTCCCGCAGCCGGCGCCGCTGCACCAGCAGCATCAGAGGGCGGCGGTGCCTGGCACGTGCATCCTGCAGCCCCCAGCATGCATGCGCAGCCATTGGTGCCGCCAGTGGCAGCACCCTGGCAGGCCCCGCCGCCTGGCATGCAGCAGGCTGCTGCTGCTGGGTTCGGGCCGGCATGGGACGTGCTAGCAGTGGACCACCCGTCGATGGTCCGAGCGGGCAGCAACAGCCCGCCGCCAGCGCCAGGCGCACAGCAGGAACAGCCGCCGCCGGCAGCGGCGCCCGCCAGGCATCCCATCGGTGAGCGGTGCTGGTACCACGCTTTTACCCTGCTCGCGAGAACAGGCCGGTACCCAGGCCGGTACCAGGCTGGTCGTGCAGAGGCCTGCTTCTGTTGTCGGTGGGCTGCCGTGATTGTTCCTTGTCGATGCTCCCGGTTTGCAGTTCACCCTCTTGGGATCCGTTCCGCCCAGCAGCAGGCCAGCCACCTCCCCGGGCCGTTGCGCCCACCTCAGCACGGCATGCCCAGCGGCAGCGGAGGGATGAGGCAGGCGCGGGCGCAGGCGCCGCCGCCGCCGCCGCCCGGTGTGCAGCGTAGCGAGGCCGGCAGCATGGGCGGCGGCGCGCTCGCATCTGGTGCCGGCGGGGGCGCTGTGTGCGACGAGCCCGACAGCTGGCATGCGGGGCCCACTGCCGCTGAGCTGTTCCACTTTGTGGCGCAGCACGGCATGCACAGCGCCCCGCTGGATGCGGTGGTTCGTGCGTGGCATGACGACCGGCACGCTGGCGGCGGCAGCCAACAGGCCCGCCTGGCGCAGCGCCAGCGGCGCCACCATGCGCAGCACCCTGCAGCACAGCCCCGCCGGCAGCAGTGGCAGGAGCAGCAGCACCAGTGGCAGCAGCAGGAGCAGCAGCAACCAAGCCTTCAGCAGCAGCAGCAGCAGCTGGCATCACAGCAGCAGCAGGCGTACCAGGCAGCCCCTGGCAGCGGCACCGCCCTGCAGCGGCCGCCTGTGCAGCAGCAGCAGCAGCAGGCGGCCCAGCAGGGCTGGCAGGAGAGCGTGCCTTTCCCTGCGCCACCGTCAGCGCAGCCAGCGGCAGGGTGGGAGCAGGTGCCCGCGGCGGCCGCCCCTGCGCCCAAGCTGAGGCAGGCGGTGCTGGTCAGCGCCGGCAAGTTTGTCGCTCCTGAGCCGGAGCTGCCTGGTAAGGCCTGGCCTGGGCCCAGGGGGCTGGCTGCCTGGCCTTCTTCATTTCTCTATGCCCGGCACTATGCCCGGCACATCCAGTGGGCATGGGATGCACATGCGGCTGCCCACATGCCAGCCAGTGCCCCGTGCTGCATGCTGAACACATGCTGGCTTGTTGTGTGCGGCGCTTTTGCCTGGATGCAGAGGCATCAGCCTGGCAGAAGACTCCCGGCGCTCTTCAGCCCTCCAACCAAGCAGGCAAGCAGCCCCAGAAGAAAAGCAAGGCGGTGCAGGCCAAGGCAGGCAGCCTGCCTCGTGCGGCGCCAGCGGCAGCCGCAGCAGGGGCGGCAGGCAGCGACGGCTCCGATTTCGAGGACGGAGCGGCGCAGAGGGAGGCGTGGCTGGCAGCCAAGCGGCTCCGCAAGGCGCCCGCCGCTGCCCTACCATCAGGGGGGTCGGCGGCGGCCAGCGGCGGCGGTGCTTCAGCTGCTGGCAAGGCGCTGCTGGCAAGGGAGTTTCTGGAGATTGGGCCCTGGTCGTGCGTGGTGGACTGCACATCCCCACTGGGCTTCTCCCGCTTTGCGAGCGACATGCAGAAGGCGCCCTCCTGCAGGTTTGGGTGCTGAGCTGGCAGTGCTGAGCTGGCGCCTTCGGGCGCTGCCGACTCGCCTCTGCTGTGCCGCCTTCGCACAAGAGCCTGCAGCCGCCCTTGCTGCCTTGTGCGCCATGCTGCCACTTTCGCCGCCCTTTTGGCCTGCAGCATCGGGCTGTTGCTTGTCGACGGCAGCGGCAGCCAGTTCCACAGCACCCTCGAGCCTCTGACAAAGGAGCAGCGGCGCAGCATCAAGGCGGCTGCCTCGGCTCCGGCAGCGGGCAGCAGCGGCAAGAAGCCGCGCGGCAGCGGCAAGGGCAAGGCAGGGGCGCCAGCCGCCGTTGCTGCAGGCGCCGAGGCCAGCGCGGCGGCGCAGGCCGCTGGGCCCGCTGCCACCGATGGCGGGGCCGCGGGCGGCAGCCGCCTCGTCGGCCTCTGCCTGCTGCCGATCGCTGTGGACGAGCTGAGCGGCGGCGGCGCCCCTGGGCCCACCATGTATTTCATGCCCCTGGCTGCCGGCACCTTTGGCGGGCACGAGGTGGCAGAGGAGGCAGCCACACAGGGCCGCGACCTGGCGGCGCAGCTGGTGGCCAATCCGGAGGGAGGCGCCATCCTCGCTTTCAACATGCAGGGTGGGCGCGGCTGTCGGGAGAACAAAAGGGAGACGTGCTGGTGTTGGGGCAATTCTGAACGGCCATGGGCCACCGGCCTCACTCTGACTGGCGCCCACCCTCCTGCCCACTCGCCTGCCGGCCTGCCCTGCCCCGCCCATGCGCGCCCTGCAGGCCTGCTGCGCCTGCTGGGCGAGGCGCGGGTGGCGCTGCCTGCGCCGCACCGCCTGGCGCTTGTGGACCCCCGCCTGCTGGCCTGGCTGCTGGAGCCGCAGCTGCTGCAGGTGGGCGGCTTGCTTGTGCCTCAAGCAGGCGGGGTCGATTTCCCAGCTTTTCAGGCAAAGCTCACACTGCCGGAGTCGTGCTTTCCTTTGTGTTCTTCCTCTGTAAATGCTCCGTGCTTTTCTCCCCTCTGCAGGGCAGCGACAAGGAGCTAAGCGACTACTCGCTGCATGAGCTGGCGGGCCGCCACCTGGGCGGCATGCCAGCTGGCGCCAGCACACCGGGTGCCGCCGCCGGCAGCGGCGGCGGCGATGGCAGCCCGGATGCTGCGGGTCCCGGCGCGGGAGCCTGGGGGGCTGCGGTGGGGCCCCCTGGTGGTGCTGCCGGGAATGTCAGTGGCGCCGCCGCAGCCAGCGGCGGTGCGGTTTCGCCGCTGCAGCGGATGCGGCGGGTGCTGGAGGTGGCGGTGTCGTTAGGCGAGCGCCTGCATGTGCAGCTGAGCGAGGCGCAGCTCCCTCCCGAGACGATGCAGCAGGAGATGCAGGCGAGGCAGGCTTCCCTAGCAGCAACTCGGGCGGTGGCTGAGTGGCTGGCTGAAGCAAGGGGCAGCGGCATCTGTCCTGTTCCGTGCCCACCTGTGTTGCACGTGCTTTGGAAAGCAATCCCAATCCCCGCCCCCACGCTCCCACCCCACCACCACACACCGCCCCTTGCGCCGCCTCTGCGTTCCTCGCCTCTGCTGCCTCGCAGGTGGCGGCGCTGCTGGCGCAGATGGAGGGCGCGGGGCTGGGCTTTGATCCGTGGCTGCTGCGGGAGGCGGGCCGCGTGGCGCGCAGGTAGCCGTCACCTTTGCACCCCGCCTGCAGCCTGAGGCTGGCGGGGCAGGCAGGCAGGCGGCGGTGTGTATACACAGCGGCTGGGCCCTAGTGGGTGGTTCCCCATTCTCAGCCGCCACTTGCCTCACCGCTCGCCTCCTCCTCACCACTGTCGCTCCCCGAGCTTGCCTCCCTGCTACCCTGCCGCCGCTGCAGCCACATGTCTCGCATAGAGGAGGAGTGTGCTGAGCTGGCGGGGCGCCCCTTCAACCCAGCCTCCCCGCAGCAGCTGGCCGAGGTGCTGTACAGCGTGCTCAAGGTGTGTGCGCGGGTGGGTGGGGGGTGCCCCATCCCCTCCCTGGGGCAGCAGGCGGCGCGACAGCACGCCGGCACGGCGGGCAGCGCGGCTGCTTTCTCACCCAGCCCTCGGCACCTGCTGTCAGCCTGCCCACCCACCCCCGCCTCCTCGCCTGGCTGCCCCGCCCCGCTGCAGCTGCCGCCGCCCACCGGCCGGGGCCGCTCCTCGGCCAAGACCCACCTTCGCACCGACGAGCAGGCGCTGGAGGCGCTGAGGCCGCTGTCGCCGCTGCCCGGCCTGGTTCTTGAGTACCGGGCGCTGCAGGTGGGGGCATGGGGGTTGGAGGAGGCGCCTGTGGATGGGTGAGGGCCGTGGGGGCACTCTGAGGAGTGTTGTGTGTGTTGTGTTTGTAGGACAGGGCGAGTGTGGTTGGGCGGCTATGCTGGTACCCACTCGCCGCGCTTTCTTCCCTCCTTTGCCATCCTTTCCTCCCGCGCCTTGCCCGCAGAACTTCTCCTCAAAGTGGGTGGAGGCCGATTGGTGCCGCGCAGCCGCTGCCGGCTTCGAGTCTGCTGACGCGTACGCGGCGGCACGCCCCGGCGGCGGCGGCTGGCCCCGCGTGCACTGCTGCTGGCACCAGACCAGCACCGCCACGGGGCGGCTCAGCAGCAGCGCGCCCAACCTGCAGGCGCGCAGCCGGATGGCGGCGGCGGGTGGTGCGGTGCTCGTGGTGCACGTGCCTGGCGTGTGCAACACACATACATGCACGCGTGTATGGGTTTGCACAACGCAGTGGATCGGGGCTGAGGCTGGCGCATGGCGCTTGCTTCGCTTCTCCCCTGCCCTCACGCTTTCT